TGACATTGATCATAATAAATCATCAATAACATGGCATTTTCTATCCAATGAATTCAATAAAACAAAACCATATGATGTACATATTAAAAGAAAATTATTTAATAATATTTTAACATCATATTTAATTGTTAATCATGCACAAATATATCATACAGGTATATGGACATGTGTTTATAAACATCAACGACTTAGTGCAAAAGTTATTGTTCAAAAAGGTAAAATTATTGGATTATATTCAATTAGAAATTTATTTCTTTGTTTTGTTTTGTTTTTAGATATTTTACCATATCAACGTACAAGTGCTTTATTATTAAATGATTCTAATCGAAAAATTTCTTCAAGAAAATTTTTTCTTTTTGTTTTATTTATTGTTTTTAAATATTAGAAAAAAAATTTGCGATGATACTTAATGAACAGTATGTATAGAAAAATTAATAAAAGGTCAGATGAAAAAAAAACTGAATCATTTGAATGTCTACAAATGAATAAAAGGTCTTATATTCTCAAATAGTTCATTAAGCTGATCCTTGACAAGTCGGTCAAGCATGGATAAATGACTGTCGACGACATTAATTAGAATAAAATCATCCACGTGTACGTGAATTGTGCCATCTCATATATGTTATCAGAAAAATGAATCTCTTTTGTTCATAAAAAGAAGAAACAAAAATGGACCATGTTTTTATCGTCTAGTCAAAACTCATTGAATGTAAAGATTAATTGAAATAATATAAAATTCATTATTTTCAATTTCACTTATATACAGACAGATTGCTCTTGATTATGTGAAAGCGTAGATTATGAATAGAATAAAAAGAAAGAGAAAAGGTCACTTCAAAACTACTGTATACTGTTCATCGAATGATGTTGATGAGGATAATCAAGCAAAGGTCCTTTCTTTATGTCATATGATGACCTAATTTTAATCTCTGTCAAACAAAATTTGCATTTCGTTTCCAATGTCGATGGCACGACTAGTAAGAGAATGCATGTATATATGTTAACTAGATAATAATTGCATGAACGATGGCTGCAAATACTTGAACATGTCCTAACTCCTTATATCATCTAGTGAACAGATGTGAGAGAGAGAGATAGAGATAGATAGAGAAAAAAAAGCATGATGAGTATGAAATTGACACAATTGCAAGAAGATACTGTTGTTTATATTGATGTAATCGGTTCAGAAAATTGGCTAACATGTTACCGCCTTATGATTATATGATACAATAACAACAATAACAACTCTTTTTTGTCGTCAAACTTGAAGGACATATCATGTCGTGAGAAAAGCGATGTATCCGGTCTGGACTATATAATGAACTACGAACAATAATGACATGCAAATTTAATTTTATAATAGATAAAAAGACAGAAATCCGAATGATGTTTTATTTTAATTAATTTATTCTCGAAAAATTTCATAACAAATAAAATAAATAAACAAAAAAAAAGAAAAGAAAGATATCAATAAATCATTTTTTATCTAAGTAGAATCTCCAGAAGGTCCTGCTCTAGCTGTATTTTGCTCTTTACATTGAGCAACAACTACGGCTGCTGCTGCTGCTCCTGTTGTTGGTTTTTGTTCACATGGATTTGAACCGCTTGTTAATGTTAGTTGAAGACGACATGAATAAATAAACAATCCTAAAAATTTTGTTTTTTTTTTATTTCATTAAAATAAAAATAACAGATGTATATTATAATACCAGCTAGATATGGATGCCATTCTTTTTTAATTAATTGAGCAATATATTTTTGATAAAATGAACCTGTATTGGTAACTGATAATGCTAATCTTTCTTTATTTGCAAGAAAATAAGATAATGTACAAGGACCAGTTCGACTTCGAAACCAATTTTGTAAATCAAGTGCTGTCAATTGAAGTGATTGATCTGTTGCAATTTTTTGTTCATCAGGAATACCTTTTGATCCTAATAAATCTAAAGCATCATGAAGTTTTAATAGATCATGACCAATAGCTTCAAAAAAAAATGCATTTCCATGTTTTAATGCATTATAATAAGGATCAGTAAGTGTTGAAAATCTTTGATGTGGTTGAATAAGAAGATTATTTAATGCCATTTCTTGACGAAATGCTGTAAATAAACGTCCATCACCACATAAAATATGAACTTGTAATGATGGACGTGTTGAATCAGTTTGATCAGGTACAAGATAATGACGCAACATATAAAGAACTTGTACTCGTTGAAAATCAATCAAATCAGATGTACTCTCTTTAAAGAAAAAAAACTCATTTTGGTTTTTAAAAATGAATAAATAGATTTGTGGACAAATGTCTCTCTCCTCCCTCCATATCGACTACTATACATGTTGAAGGGCTAAAAATTTGTGTGCACATACTACACTAAGAATTTAATTCAGAAGCACGAGATTGTCCCTATTGTTTACGGATATTCGCATCTTTTTTAACCGTTTCTGGTTCTCGGAGACGATACGACCGGTC